CTTAAAAAAAAAAACTTCGGAAAAAAAGTGCCCCCTGGGTTAGCTGTACGGAGGTCCGGGTGGCCGGAGCCCACATGGGTAACTGCAGGTTCCAGTCTCACCGAGCCTCAGACCCGGCAGCTTGAGAAATCACATGTGAGCAAAACCTCGAGAGAATGGAGGAGAAGGGATTGTACCATGTCATGCCCCGAGGGCTGCTTTCTCACTTTCTCTCTTGAGTGAACGCACAGGCCCTTAGCAAACTGGAAAAAAAAAAAGTAATATACATGTATTTCCTCGTGTCTCCTCATGACTCGACTTCTCTCTGGATGGCCGTTTCCTTACCCACCCACTTACTGAGGAGTGTCTTGATTGCTTAAGTTTGGGCCTTTTTTCGAGGGGTGGGGGTTGCCATAGTGCAGGTACACTTGCCAGACAGAGAGGGAGGGAGACTGAGAAATCACACCCCCACCCCCCAGAGCATGGCCACCCTGTAATCTCCTCTCCATTTTGGGGTACACATGCATATGTGCCTGGTGTGATTTTCAAGTCACTGGGTCCGGGACTTGAACAAAGGTGGGCTGTGTAGTGGTCCAGTGTTTTCCATGACACCTGCTGGCCCAGGTTGGGCGTTTGTGAGTAAAGCTGCTGTAATCATCCTGTGTGGGTTTATGTGCGAAAGTAAGTGTTTCGGGACCAGCAGTTGGCATAATGGCTATGTCATTGGACTCCCACGTAGTCGACCGCGGTTTGCGTCCCAGACCCGGTGGCTTAAAACTCATGCCGGGCACAAGTGCATGCGTGTCCAAGATCCTGGGAGGAGAATGGAGGAGAAGGGATTGCGGCGTGGCCACCTTCCCTGAGGGGTGATTTCTCGTTTTCTGTCTCTCTGTCTCTCTCTGCCTGGCAAGCGCACGTGCCCTATAGCAAAAACCTCTCCGAAAAAAAAAAGAAAGAAATGTTCCGCTCTTCTGGGTAAATCCCAGCCTGCGAATGCACTCTGATGGTGTCTACTCCGTGCCTCGCCTGAGGGGCTGGGGGTCCCTGGAGCCCACACCCTCCAGCATGTGGTGTGGGCAGCACTCTGGCT